GAAATCTTAAGTTTACAGGCGCAGTTCTCACACGTGATCAAACTTCAGACATCCTCACCGTTCAACGGACACGACTTCTTTACCTGGAGCTTCGAGTTCGAGCTGCTGATGGAGGCCGCGCATCTTCTGGGATACTTCAACGGGTCCCTGCCATTCCCAAGCAACGGCACTGGGAAGGAACAAGAGATCTTCACGTATCAGTCGCTGCTGGCGTACACGGTACTCCTGAGAAACCTGTCACCACAAGAGCAGCAGAGCATCAGAACGTATCGGAGTTATGGAAACTCCGCGGAGCTCGCATGGCACCACCTCAAGTGCCTTTACCAAGCAAACGACAGCGTGACACAAAGCAGACTCATGCAACAGCTGACAACAATACAGATGAAGACCGGGGAAAAGGCGATGCAGTATATGAGTCGCTGCCAGACCCTCCGCGACCGCCTGCTTCGGTGCGGAGGAACGATCACTGAAGAAAGCTTCGTAACACTTGTCCTTGCCGGGCTCGGGCCAGAATGGAGAACCACACGATCACTTCTTCGAGCCCACGGAAGAATTTCGGAGATGCACCTCTGCGCCGAGCTTCACGCTGAACAACAGGAGATGGATCTGTTCGAGGAAAGACAACCAAGGAAGCAACAGCAGTTAGTCTTCTACACTCAAAGAAGAAATGACAACAACTACAACCGACGCAGCAAGCAAGATCAACGCGACAACCGAGGACTCACCATCGTGCCGCCGTTCTGCCACAACTGTCAGACTTCCGGGCACTCCAAGGTCAACTGCAACCGCCCTCGCGTTTACCGTGCAGCAGACCCACAAGTCGCTTCCACTCAAGCAAGTCCTCCAAGGCGCTCTTCAACATCTGCACAACAAACACCCAACATCATCAACTGCATGGTACACATCGACAACTGCGCACCCGCTTCACCACCCACTTACGCACCAGACGAAGAGGAATTCCCGCCGCCGCGCTCGCAAGGACTTCAGGTCAACCCGACATACGCTGCAGTCGCTAACGCCGAACCCACCGGGCGGAACACCTGGTTCTTAGACAGTTGCTGCGGTCAGCACATGTGCTCCTCCGGACGCTTCGTACAACACGAGCGACGCCTCAACCGCGACGTCGTCATCACCGTCGCCAACAACGAAAACCTGAAAACAAACAGACAAGGCGTGGTTCAGTTACAATCAATGGAGACAAACGTTATTCTTCAGCTCAACAAAGTCCTCATCGTCGACAATCTGGGATACAACCTACTAAGCGTAAGCCAACTAATGGCTAAGGGGATTCACCTGGAGTGCGACTCCTTCTCCAACGAGTTCCGACTTTACCACGGGAAGGGCGGCCTCTTCATCGGTCGTGCCCTCCTGAAGTCCGGTGTCTTCGTGTTGGACTTCGTCCCCGACCGCGGAACTGCCGACAGCGATGGCATCGTATCGTTCGCCGCCTGGACTCACCCGCCGGATCTTGATCCCGACTTCGACAGTGACGGCTTCTGGCACTCCAACACCATACCTGCAGCAGAGAGAACACGAGCATTAGCAGTTATCAGACAAGAAAGACAAGTACCCGCAAGTGTCCCAACAAAACCATCACCTGCAGTATCGGCAGCAGGACCCAGCCGAGTACCACCACCATCAACACGAGGACCGCCAACGGAAGCAGACCAACTTATGCCCGCCACACGAGAAGCTTGTCGAAGTCCCGCCTCGGTCGTCGCGTTCTTCTCCAACGCCGACATCTACCACCGCTCGCCCGGTCACCGTGCTCCCGACGACATCTGGCACCAACGCCTCGGACACCCTGCAAACAGCACAATACTTCAAACAATCCAAGCAGAGGTGTTAGAACGTAACGCCCTTCTAACGACGAGCGGCCAAGAACTTCGCCGACCAAGAGCACGATGCTTCACGTGCCCCGAAGCAGATCTTCCTCATCAACCCTTCCCATCCCATCATAATCCAAGCGCGCCTGCATATGCAACGATGGAAAAAGTCTACAGCGACATCTTGAACATGCCTCGAGACGACACGGAAGCCGACTTCAACTACGTCATCACCTTCGTCGATGCAGCAACAAGATACACTTGGCATTACAACCTCAAGACGCGCGATCAAGCCTTCGACGCCTTCACAACATGGCTCCCCATCGCCGAGCGGGAATCAGGAACCAAGCTCAAAAGCTTCCAGTCAGACGGTGCCCTAGAATACCAGTCACAACGCTTCAGGACCTATCTGGCGGAAAGAGGAATCAAGCGCCTGGTGTCCCTACCATACGCTCACCAGCAGCAGGGGGTCGCCGAACGCATGAACCGGACCTTGCAGACGACGATGCGAAAGCTGCTCCTGGGGATGAGACTGCCCAATACACTGTGGCCAGACGCGATGACACATGCAGTCCACCTGCACAACCTGTTGTCCTCGTCATCGCTCCCCAACAACGCATCACCGCACCTGCTGTGGACGGGAAAAAGGGGCAGCACAAAATTACTTCGAGTTTTCGGCTGCATGGTACAATACAGACCCCACACAGCTCGAGCAGGACGCTTCACTCAACGAGCTCGGTGGGGACTACACCTCGGCATCGCCAAACATTTTCACGCGTGGAAGATTCTCGACATACACGACAAAAATACGGTGGCATCACGTGATGTTATCTTCTACGAGCGACTGACGCTGCAGCATTACCTGGACAACATTGCCAACTCAGACGACCCCACCGACGGCTTCGCGGGCCTTCGCTCCTTCGCTGACCATGCTGCCGAAGCTGACGCAGCAGAAGAAGACGTCCCTGGAGCCTCGGAGGCTGCCGGACCACTCCCCTACTGCTCCGTACCTGTTCCACTCGATGAAGATAATCCCCTCGATAGCAACAACCTCGACACCTTTTACCACTTCGCTGACCAAGGCTACGCTACACCACACCCCGTCGACTCGAATATTTCCGAACGCATCGGGCCAAACTTCTTACCCGATCCTGAAGACGGTGATGAAGCAGCTTATCCCGAGAATGAAAACTCCCCTCGACACACAGCCACGGGACTGCAGATCCTAGGACTATGGGTCTCCGTCCAGCACCCGCCGCCGCCTTCTCCGCGCGAGCCGTCGACCCTGTCGCAGGCTCTGGGGGGGGAACATAAGGCACAATGGAAGGAAGCGATGGAAAAAGAGTTAAAAGCTCTGCAAGACCGAGAAACATGGAAACTGGTACCTGCAACGAGCATCAACGGGAAGAACATTCTCTCGGGGAAATGGGTGTACCGCATCAAGACCAATTCAGACGGCTCCATCGAACGATTCAAAGCTCGATGGGTCGTACGAGGCTTCGATCAACGATACGGAACCGACTACACAGAAACCTTCGCTCCAGTCTCCCGTCACACCTCCCTGCGCATCCTACTCGCCATCGCGGCCACGAAGAAACTACCACTACGGCAAATCGACGTTGCAAACGCCTTCTTGTACGCACCTGTGGACACCGAAATCTTCGTCGAACAACCCCACGGATTCATCGACGACCCTTCAAAAGTATGCCAGCTGGAAAAATCCCTTTACGGGATCAAGCAAGCCCCACGGCTCTGGCAGCAGCACCTTCACGGCCGGCTCGTAAAAATCGGATTCCTACAGTTACCACATGACCAAGGCATGTACCGACTACAGAAGGGAAGAGATTACATTCTGCTCATCGTCTACGTCGACGACCTGCTCTACATCGGTTCTACCACCGACATCGTCACCTGGTTCGAAGGGGAGCTGAAAAGGGACCTAACGCTCACGGTGTCCGACGAGGTGACGCAGTACCTAGGACTGAACGTCGTCGAAGACGACACGGCGTTCTACCTACACGCTGGAAAGTACTCAAGCACCGTCGCGAAGAAATTCGGTCTAACACCGACTGCGGTCCCAACTCCCTACCGCTACGGGAACAACAGTAGCGCCTCCACAAAACTCCCCGCGAAACAAATCCAGGAGTATCAACAGAAGCTCGGCTGCCTACTATTCGCAACAGTAACCTGCCGACCCGACCTATCCTATAGTGCGAGTCAGCTGGCGACACATCTGAAGCAGCCGCAACAGGAAGATCTCGAAGAACTCAATCGAGCGCTACTCTACTTCGTCTCCACGCCGACGATCGGGCTCACCTACAGCAAGGCAACAACACCGTCCGTACGACTACTCGGATACGTCGACGCCGACCACGCGGGAGACAGCGAAAATCGACGGTCTAGGACGGGCTACATCTACCGACTAGAACCTATCGGAACTATCTCCTGGCAGTCGAGCAAGCAGGAGTTAATCGCACTATCCTCGGCTGAAGCAGAGTATATCGCCCTTTGTACTGCGACCAAGGAAGGACTCTACCTACGAGAGTTACTCGAAGAAGCGAAGATCGCGACCCTGCCCACCTTCTCACTCCTCTGCGACAACCAATCTGCGATAAAAATCGCGAACAAGGACGGCTTCGCCAACCGAACCAAGCACATCGCCCTGCGGTACTTCTTCGTCAAGGATGAAATCGCGAAGGGGAGACTTCAACTCAGTTACTGCCCGACGACAGAAATGGCCGCAGATTATCTGACGAAGAAATTGGCGAAAGCAAAATTCGACTACTGCATGCTCCTAACCGGGCAAACAAACGTCACCGGATCTGAACACTCCAGCACTCCAGAAACGAAGGGGAGTGTTGGAAATATCTCAAGGACTTAAGCGTTTCTGAAGTGTAACACTGTACTCGAGGAAGATTACAGGGGAGCACGCGAGTCAACGGAGGTTACACGAGGGGGCGGACAAAGAATGCGAAAGGACTCGAAAGGTCGCAACTGGAGGTTGCGACTGACCGTTACAACATCACGGATGGTAACCGAAGCGGCAATCGAGTCGCTGTGCGACTCGATAAACCGTTCCTGTAACTGTATTCTACAACTGCTTTCTTATCTTCTATATATTGCTGTATGCTTGTTTCTTTAATCAATCACTTGTTCTCACATACTAGTACAAGGGTTCAACTGTCTCAATTTCCGCTGCACTACTCCAAGTCTCAAGTCTCTACAAGCTGGGACTTAGTCTCTGCAAAAGATCCTAAGGGCCTTTCTCAGCCCAATAACAGGGAACCTCGCGTCTAAGGCGAGGTTAGTCTGACGCGGGGCTGTAGGAATTTGCCCTCACTGTATATCTACAAAATGTACAAGGTATGGGCGTTATATCAAAGTGAGAAAGAATGACAGACATATAGGTTTTGCCCCGTTATGTCATGCACCTGCTCAGCTCCTTTGCTTCCCCAAACCATCAAGACACAACCTGGATCTCCTTGTGGTGTTGCTGCCCCTTCCGAGCCTCCTCCGCAGCCTCGGCCAGAGCTTTGTCCCGGTCCTTAGGGTAGGTCCAGTAGAGGCCCCCGTACAGGGCGCAGCACAGAGCAAAGGGCGCAGCCATGGTCCAAAACAAACCCAGAGACAGAGCCTTGGCATTTTGAGGGTCAGCAGCGGAGGGAGGAGAGGGAGGAGCAAAAGGAGGAGCAGGAGAAGCAGGGGGGGCAGTAGGGGCGGCAGCAGGGGCGGCAGCGGGGGGGGAAGCGGGATGGGAGGGTTGGAAGCCGAACCAGGCTTGGGCGAGGAAGCCGACAGTGGGGGGAGCAAAGGCAGCAACGGACATCTCAAATGCCCGGTCCAGTGCGTAGATGTCCGTGCGCAGGCGCTCAGGCACTATGTCCGCGAATATGGGGCTGCCAGGGAGGGGAGGCGGGGCGGCATGAAAGGGATGGCGGTGGAGGTGGTTGGTGGGTGCTGGGGGGGGGGGCTCAATTCTCTGTTTGGTCGAGCGCGCCGATGTCGGTGTGCAGGCGCCCCGGGACGGGGGGGAACGTAGAGGTGAAGTGCGCTGTTGTATTTTGAGTCGACTCAAAATACAACTAGTGCGCGGGATATATGGGCATAAGGCAGGATGGTTTCGGGCATGGAGTCATGGGGAGGAAACGATGTGCCATGCTATGCCATGCCATGCCATGCCATGCTAGGCCATCCCATCATCCCATCCCTACATTAGCATTGGCATGCACTCACTTATTAGAAGCCGCATCGTTCCAGGAGATCAAGAACCCCATCAGCACCAGCACGCAGAAATACACCCAGAAAAACCGGGTGTCCTGCGGAACCACCCTCAGCAGCACTGTCGACATCACGACCGCTGATCCGGCGCTGATCTGCGCACAGATCACACGGCCAGAATCGCGCCACGTGGCGCTCATCCAGTCGCCGAACCAGCCAGCAAAAAGACCGCCAAAACTGCAACTAGCAGTGAAAGAGGAGAGGAGGAGGGCGGTGGAGGGGTGGGAGAAACCCACAAGCTCCAGCCACATGGGGAGGAAGGTGAGAGAGGCCCAGGCGAAGGACCCTACGATGCCTTGAGCGACTATTATGAGGAAGGAGGGAGTGCGGAGGACGTGTGAGAGGTCTGAGAGGAAGGAGGGGGAGGAGGGAGGAGGGTGGTGGGGGGAGGAGAGGGGAGAGGAGTGGGGAGAGGAGGGAGAGGAGGGAGTGGTTGGAGAGAGGACGGGGGATGGAGTGTGTGTGGAGGGTTGATATGGAGCCTTGGAGGAGGTGGAAGTAGACGGGGTTGAAGCAGGGGAGGTGGGTTTGGGGGAGGTGGCATGTGAGGGAAAAAGAAGGGGCTGTGTGGCTGAAGAGGGATCAGAACCGTCGATACACGAATCGGCCAGAGAATCCACATCTAGACATCTCCGCCGAGCATCCTCGTTAGAGAGGTCTTCGATAAGAAATTGTCTTGGAGAGTCTTGTGCAAAGAGGGAGATAAAAGCTGCTAGCAGCAGACTGATTGCTGCTACGACAAGAAATGCCATCCGCCATCCATCCATCCCAAACCCAAAGAGGATGGCTATTGTTCGGGCAGGTATCCCAGCCAGGGTAATTCCGATGCTGTACCCCAGAATGTCTCCAAAATAAGTCATGAATTGTAACCATCCGAATGCCACGCCGCGATTGGTCGGAGACGCCAGGTCAGCAATGAGTGATTGGATAGGAGGGAAGACCAGAGCGAGGCCGATGCCGTTTAGCCCGCGTAGCCATGCGACCTGGCGGTATGACGTGGCGAGGCCCACCGCCAGCGTGGCCAGGCCCCAGATGAGCGCCCCCGAGGCGATGATGTGGACACGTGGCATGTAGAGGGAGAGCCATGGCGAGAGCGGGCAGACTAGCGCCTGCACTAGGGCTCTCACTAGAGTGAGCGCGCCTAGGTCTTTCGGTGAAGCGTGGAACGCCCGACCAACCTGGAAGGTGGGAGTGGCGGGGGGGGGGGGGGAAGGGGGGAACGATGGTTTCGAAGGAAGGGGGAGAGGGGGGGGAGAGAGGGGGGGAGGGGGGGAGGGGGGGAGGGTAAACGGGTGGGGGTGGGGTTGGGGGGGGGGGGGGGAGGATGGAAATGCCAAGGGATCTGCTTGAAAGAAATCGGTTGATCCGGATCGTTCCGAGGCTATGGTCAAGACCCACTAGGACGACACAGAGAAAACCACAGGGATCGTAACTTATTCTACCAATAGAAAGGCACAGAGATCGCAACGTATTCTACCATTAGAACGACAGAGCGACCGTCTTTTAAGTACCTCGTTGTACACGGCGGGAAGGAGCGACTCATCCGCCCTCTCGACGATCGCGGCGACGTTGACGAGGATCAATGTGCGCACTCGCACGTCCTTCCACCACCGCGCCGTGCTCATGCCGCTAATAACGAAGTGCCTAAGAAACGTTGACTGGAATCAACGTGCGCACGCCCACGTCCTTCCACCACCGCGCCGCGCTCATGCTGCTATTCCCGTCTGAGCATGCGAATGCGTTGCCATCAGAATGCGTTGTCCGATTACTCGGTTTAAACGGTTACTCTCAATTCCCTCTATTGCCAACGTCGGGCCTGCGCGCGGCTAAGCGCGAGCGACGCATGCCAGAGATTGCTCTGGGCTGGACCTAGTAGTAGCCGAAAGGTCGGTACACGTCAAGCCACGCCCAGAGACCACATCCAAGTGCATGCCAAATGTGGAATAGCCCCGAGGGTCTCGATACAATTTTGGCCAGGGCAAATTTTGATCGGAATAATTCCAGCTTTTATTGTACACTACCACAAACGTAGCTTTTCTAGGAATATACTTTAATAATAAGCGTACTATTTCAAACCACGAAGCACTCAGGTTCCGGCCTACTATTTCACCTGACCTGCCCTCCGAGTTTCACGGCTTTCCCTTCCCCATCTGCTGCAGCGCAAACTCGTTTGCGCGGATGCTCTCTTCGACCAATCGCAGCAGCTCTTTCGTGCTCCCCGAGAGGCCCCCGCCCAATAAGCCCAGGGAGTCGCACGCCATCGCAGCGGTAATTGGCGACACCTGCGACGTCTGCGACGCCCGGAATGTCGCAGGATGTCGGCTCGTCCACCTGCGCGACGTCGCCTCGCCGCTCACCTCGGGACTCGCTCCGAATCGCAGATCCCCACTCAAATCACACCTGCCGTTTACAACACCCAACTCGTCTAATTGCCGCAGCAAAAACGCGGAAGTTACGGGCGGCATAGTCGCCGCAGTAACCGCAGTCGCCGGGACTGTCGCTGGCGCTGCCATTGCCTTCGTGAACTCCGCAACCATTCGCGAAAATGTTGTCGTGTCGGGAATCGACGATGCAGATTGAAGCTTCGGTTGGATCAACGGCACAGCGACCGCGACTCCCGGGCTCGAGCCTCGTACCGCCCTCTCGATTTGCTCCATCTGGTTCGGATCGATCGGCGCACAGGCGACGCTCGGCACCACCTGGGATGACATGTCCCGCTGCGAAATCCGCGGTACTAGCTCGTCCGTTTGTCGCTCATCAGATTTGCGCGCTGAGTGCGCTGCGACTCGTGGAGATGCTCGTAAAGCGTCCAGGCTCGCCGATGTGGCAGCCGTGCTCGAGCCCTGCCTCTCCAGCAAATTACCTTCACCAACCACCACGTCCCCCTCCAAAACCCCGGCCGCGTTTCCCCATGGTCCTCCGCCGTTGAGCTTCTCGGCTCCCCTGTCGGGTTCGCCTCGTACTGAGTCGCTTCGTGCGGCCGCGCACTCGGGCCAGATCACGTCCAGCAGCCGGTTCGTCTCCTCGTCGAAGTCGCCCAATTCCCGGAAATCCGCCAACTCGGCTATGTCGCGCGTCTCGTTGCGCGACTGGAAGTCGTCTGGCGCCGCGACTCCGCAATCGTCGCGAATCGCATTATAAGAAATACTAGGACCTTGCTTAGTGTCGACGCCAGCCACATGAGAGCTTTGGCTTGGGCTATGGCGGATAGCCCCAACCCCGCGTACGTTCCTAGAAGCGGGTGTGATATTATCGCGGTCGGGAAAAGCTTGGTTGCGCGAAGCTGGGTTGGAGTTGGTCAGCTCTTCCAATGCAGCCATGACGTCAGCGGGCATCATCAGACGACGCACGTCGCTGTGACGTTCGAAGAACGTTCCGCCTCGCTGGCGTTTCGCCTCGGGATAATCCATGTCAGATCGCCGGCGCTTCGCCTCGGAGAAGCGGATATTCGGGAATGCGGATTCGCAGGAAAAGCGCGGCGCCGTCGAGAGGGAGACGAGGCCTACGGTGTTTGACGCGCAGGAGATGGCGTCGTGGGTGAGAAATCCTGATCCTTGTGCGGTTGCGATGAGGGGAGATGCCGAAACGTTCTGGAGCGGCATTGCGGAAAAATAAGGCGATATAGGTCGGCTGCTGTAGTCTATAGTAGGCGATACTTGAAGCCGTCAAATTATAGGGGAAGAATTCGTGGTATGACTGAAGGACCTTGCACTCCAGAGAAATTGGCTTGAATTGCTACCACACGGAAGTGAAGCCCCCTTTTATGAGAATCAGTCGAGTGTCAGTGGAGCGGTGTGTGATGTGAAGCGACAGTGAAGGTTGCAGCTGCTGCTGCCGAGGCTCATGGCAGCTGGGTGTGCGCGAAAGAAAGCGCGTCGCGGGAAGCGGACGCCTGCTAGCAGCAAAGCGACAGCTGCACATGGCGAATTTCGCCGCTGGCGAAAATCGCCCCTACCACATTGACAGGCGCGATTGCTGCCTGTGATGTGAAACGAAATCTCATTTCGCTTATCGAATCAGCGATTCTCTTTCAGGCGCAGATGAACCCCACCCACAACTGCGAGTTTGTCCCGTACGGCTCCTTCCTTGCATAGTTCGCTGGTGTTACGCACAGGGATGACGCACATAGTCGAAAATATGACTTCATCGAGCAGGAAGGAAGTCCTGCCTTTTCCAGTTTTGTGGGATGTTGCTTTGCTGGTGTTGCACACGTGATGACGACAGCAGGCGCGAAATCTCCGGCAAGGGCGACCCTTCGACAGGGGTCAGAGCCAGAAGTTTCATTCTTGTCGAACACGTGAATCCGCCTGCCAGAATATAGCAAGTGAAACCAGGATGGAGGATCGTACTGCACATGTGGACTGTACTGCTGGTGATGTCGTGGAGATGGAACGGGACGGGATGGAAGGGAGCAACACAACACTTCCCGCTTGCCCCTGTCAAGCTAAGAGCGTGCTCAAAGTGCTGTCTGTCATTCACTGTTACCCGATATCAAAACAAATCGTAGCCGTTCATATATGTCAGTACAAAAATCAACGGACAAGATTTGTTATGTTATCCCTGCCATCCGCTGTTATCCGCTAAGGGAGTGTCCAAAGTGACCCTTGACATCCCCCGATGGATGTCGTCGGATGTCAAAATTCACTTAGGACATCCCAGAAGCAGCGTTGCGTTGTTGCTCCCTTCCGCCATCCCGGCACTGTAGCGAGTCATTCGACCTCACGTTTCAGTGCCACAGCCAGCGAATCTGTCCACGTGGTGAACGAAGCATGTTCCAAGCACATGGGATGTGATCACGCGAACCTTGGGTTATGAACAGTGACATGCGGTGGATCGTGCACATGGGGGGTGGGGTGAAGAGATGGCGGATCATCCTCGTTGCAAGGGGGACGTTGGATGCGATGACTTGTTTCGAAACAAGTGATAAATCCATCCAGCAAAGCACTGCACTGTAAAATTCCTCCGCAATGTCTATTTTGTATTTCTACCAAAAAATTCAACAGAAATCATACAGCATTACCATTGGCTTTGTGAATAGCTTCTTCATCGCGCTTGTGCTCATAGTACAGCTAAAAACGGGTCCGAACACCTCGATAGTCCCCTGGGACCTACCCCACATGGACCGAGTCGCAGAACCTCGCCTTCCCAGCTTGGTTGTCCAGTCCGGTTCGGAGTTCGCTATCCTTGGTCCTAAAGCGGTCACGCCAAGCTACGAGCTTATCCATTATCAGGGGTCAATGGAGGAGCGTAGTAGTGTGTCCTTGAGTCCAGGAGCGTCGGAGCACTAGGCACAACAAGGAACAGATGATTTGGTGGTGAACTAAGTATTTGTTACCCATGGCGGGACGGTCCGGTAACTCCCCGTCCGCGGCGCGCCATCGCTCCTTCCTCGTCCGTTCCGCGACTCCAGCTCGCGTCGCGATCGTCGCGGCGTTGCTAGTCGTCTCGCTCTTCCTCGTCCTCCCGCAATCCACGCGCGACCTCTTACTCTCCGCGGCGCCGGAATCCCTCTCCCCCTCCGCATTTCCGGATCTCGAGACTCCCCCTGCCACGCTAGGCCAGAACGCTGACGTGGAAGAGGTTAAGCAGTCGCCGCTGGTCCCGCTGACGGTGCTTGCTGACCTGGATGATGACGGGGCAGTGTGCTTAGATGGCTCCCCGCCAGCCATCCACCTGTCGCCCGGATGGGGTCGTGGGTCCAACAACTGGGTGATTTACCTCGAGGTCAGTCAAACTCAGTCAACGCGAGTAAAACGCGAGCCAATGGGAGTCAATGCAGGTCAATGCAGGCCAATGCAGGTCAATGCAGGTCAATGCTAGCCAAATCAAGGCTAAATCATTCAATGCGGGTTCATGCCAGTGTAGAATGTGACTGTGTCTCTGAGGCATTCATTCACTATTGTCACGTGCCTGTATCGCGTCAGGGCGGAGGCTGGTGCAGTGACGAGTGCGCGCAACGCTCCCGCGGCGCTCTGGGGTCGTCCAAGCGCATGGGGAGAATCATGCCCTTCGGGGGGATCCTCTCCCACGACCCTAAGGTCAACCCTGGTGCGTTCTAAGGCAACCCTGGTGCGTTCTAAGTCAACCCTGGTGCGTTCAAATTCAAGCCTGGTGCGTTCAAACTGAATTTGGTGCACCGAAAGTCAACCCAGATACATGCGTCCCCTCTCACCAACTGGCCCTTTTTTAGCAAAGAAAGGGGAATTTCCATGAATGACGTCGTCGCATTCACCCTGCATAACTTCCCTCGTTTCCCATTTCCTTTTCCTTCTCCTTTTCCTTTTCCTTCTCCCATTTCCTTCTCCTTTTCCTTTTCCTTCTCCCATTTCCTTTTCCTTTTCCTTCTCCCATTTCCTTTTCCTTTTCCTTCTCCCATTTCCATTTCCTTTTCCTTTTTCGTATTCTTTTCCCAGATTTCTACAACTGGAATCGGGTCTACTTTCATTATTGTGACGGTGCCTCTTTCCTCGGTGACACAAACGAGCCAGTCCAGGCACAATCCCGCCTTGTCTTTTTCCGAGGGAGGCGCATCTTCACCGCCGTGATCCGGCACCTCATCTCCCACCACAACATGGGGGCGGCATCGCTTGTCTTATTATCCGGCTGTTCTGCGGGCGGTGTGGCCTCCCTGCAGAACTGTGACAGGCTGGCGGGGATTCTCCAGCAATCGTCCAGCCAATCAGGAGCGAGCGGAAGAGATGGAGGGGAGGAAGTAGGGAAGGAAAGAGGGGAGGAAGGGCCGGTGGTGAAGTGCATGGCTGATGCGGGGTTCTTTCTGGACTCACAGGATGTTGGAGGGGTGCGGCGCATGCGAGAGCGGTTCAGAGCGGTCGTTGCAACCCAGGTGAGATGACGTGCCATGGCATGGCACACAGTGTATGATGGGTGAGATCACACAGTTGAGATGCTATGGGTGAGATGACACGGGTGAGATGACACAGTTGAGATGATATGGGTGAGATGACATGGGCGAGATTACACGGGCGAGATTACACGGGCGAGATTACACGGGTGAGATGGCACGGGTGACATGGCACGGGTGAGATGACACGGGTGAGATGACACAGGTGAGATGACACGGGTGAGATGAGTTTTCTTGTGGGAGTAATCCGGTTGCTTGAGTTTGTCAAGTGGACCTCTCAGAACCAACCAATCCTGGCAGCCCCTCTCATCCATCGATCTCTCCTGCCTCTCCCTCCTTTCTCTCGCTCCCCCCTCACTCCCCCTCACTCCCCCTCGCTCCTCTCTCCCCTGCCACGGTGTCTCCTCTCCAACAGAACGTGTCCCTGAATGCGCACTGCACAGCTACTGTTGCACTGGAAGACCACTACTTGGTACTGTTCATGCCAGATTTGTTACTGTTCACGCCAGATATGTTACTGTTCATGCCAGATATGTTACTATTCATGGCAGCGTATGTTACTGTTTTTGTCTCTGAAGAAATCTAAACGTTGGCTGCAGTCCTGTAGCGTATGGTCCCACCTGAACCAGTTATTGTTCATTTTTTAGGCGCCTCAAAAATAGACATCTCACAATTATTAGCTGTTCATGCTCCCGAAGTTTCCTGTGGTTGTCTGAACGCGACCTATCTTACCCTCAACCTCCTCTCCCAACAGCTCCCCAAAACTCCCCCAAAATTTTGCCCCTCCCTATCGCATGCCCCTCCCCCATCCCATGCCCCTCCCTATCGCATGCCTCTCCCCCATCCCATGCCCCTCCCCCATCGCATGCCTCTCCCCATCACATGCCCCTCCCCCATCGCATGCCTCTCCCCCATCACATGCCCCTCCCCCATCGCATGCCTCTCCCCATCACATGCCCCTCCCCCATCGCATGCCTCTCCCCCATCACATGCCCCTCCCCCATCGCATGCCTCTCCCCCATCACATGCCCCTCCCCCATCGCATGCCTCTCCCCCATCACATGCCCCTCCCCCATCGCATGCTCTCCCCCATCACATGCCCCTCCCCCATCGCATGCCTCTCCCCCATCACATGCCCCTCCCCCATCGCATGCCTCTCCCCCATCACATGCCCCTCCCCCATCGCATGCCTCTCCCCCATCACATGCCCCTCCCCCGTCGCATGCCTCTCCCCCATCACATGCCCCTCCCCATCGCATGCCTCTCCCCCATCCCATGCCCCTCCCCCATCGCATGCCTCTCCCCCATCCCATGCCCCTCCCCCATCGCATGCCTCTCCCCCATCGCATGCCCCTCCCCCATCGCATGCCTCTCCCCCATCCCATGCCCCTCCCCCATTGCATGCCTCTCCCCCATCGCATGCCCCTCCCCCACTGCCTGTCCGTCAGTGCTTCTTCCCGGAGCATCTCCTTCCCTTCCTGCTCCGCCCGTTCTTCATCCTCAACCCTCTCTACGACTCCTGGCAGGTGATTTTCTACACTCCGCTCTTGGTTATCATACTTCTCCTAGCGCCTACCACTGCTGTTACTTCTTTTGCTTTCAGCCTGACTCCGGAGAGCTATGTCTGACGACCTCTCTTCATCCTCAACCCTCTCTGCGACTCCTGCCTGGTGATAGTCTCTCTATAGCAGGTGATCTTCTCGTACCAACCACCAAGTAACCTTCTCCTTCACTCAGCACCAGTCTTTCCCCGCCTTAGACTGGCACCCCTGCTGCACCAACCTGCAATCCTGACCCCCCTCCCTCCCATTACCTGCTCAAGCATCCCCCCCCCTATCCCTTCATTCCCACAACAACAGGTCTCCAACTCCTTCGCGCATCGCCAGTCTTTTCCTGCCCTAGAGTGGCATGAGTGCCGCAACGACCTGCACTCCTGCCCTCCCCACCTGCTGCAGCTACTCCATGGTACAGTGCGGTGATATGCGGTGATGTGCGGTGATGTGCGGTGATGTGCGGTGATGCGGGGTGGTGATGTGCGGTGATGATGTGCGGGCGGTGATGTGCGGTGATGTGGGGTGGTGATGTGCGGTACTCCTGCTGCAGCCTCTCTTCCCCCGGCCCTCATCTTCCCCCTCCGCCCTTTTGTTTTTGCCAGAACCTCTTGTTTGACCCCCATCTCATGTTAAGCAGTCTCCTGTCTCTCCTGAGAGGTCCTCTCCCATCAAATCCCCCCCTGACTCCCTGTGCCCATCCCTGCCCAGTCTACCACCACCATGTTGGCTTTCACCCCCCCCCTGACTCCCTGTGCCCATCAAGTCGCTGTCCCTGATCTGATTGTTGGCCTTCGTCTGCCCCCTGTTCTCGAATGTTGGCTTTCGCCCCCCCCCTGACTCCCTGTGCCCATCCCCGCCCAGTCTACCACCACCACATGGTTTCCAACCTCTCTCCTTTCCTCCCTGCCGCAAACAAGCCCGTTCCGCACACGCACCCTGACCCCGAGCGCCGCAAACTCTCCTTGCTCGTCGGAGGGGCAGGGGGGGAGGGTGGGGGGTCAGAGGGGGAGGAGCAAGAGGAGGAGGAGGGACGAGCCAAGGATGGTAGAGAGGAGGAGGAGAGCGGAAGAAAGGACGATAACGAGGAGGAGGAGAATGGAAGAAAGGATGATAAGGAGGAGGAGGAGAATGGAAGAAAGGGTGATAATAGGGAGGAGGAGAGAGGAAGCAAGGATGATAAGGAGGAGGAGGAGAGAGGACACGTGAGTGTGGCAGTAGGGAAGGGAGGAGGGAGGGGCAGTATAGGGCAGGAAGAGAGTGGAGACGGGGGGGATGGAGTGGAGGGGGAGAGAGGAGGGGAGGAGGGGGAAGAGAAAGGGAGAGGGGATGGAGGTGGGGAGGAGCAGGGGGGCGATGGGGCGAGGGATGGTGAGGAGGAGGGGGGCGATGGGGCGAGGGATGGTGACGAGAAGGGAGATGAGGACGAGAGGGGGGATAAGGACAGGGAGGGGAGTGAGGATGAGGGGAAAAGAGAAGAGGAGAGGGGAGGCGAGGGGGGGAGAGGAACTGAAAAAGAGTGGAAAAGTGAGGCTGGTGTGCGAGAGAAGGGGAGTGAGGAAGGGGAGGAAGGGGAGGAAGGGGAGGAGGGTGGCGAGGGGGAGGAAGGGGAGGAAGGGGAGGAAGGGGAGGAGGATGAGGAGGTTGGGGATGACCAGGCAGTTGGGGGAAGGAATAAGGAGTTGGATGCACAGATGGGAAGTGCTGTGCCCGGTAGCATGGATGGCGGTGTGCGTCGTGGCATGGATGGTAGCACGAATGCTGGCATGCATGGCAACACACTCTCCTCGTCCACATCATCTGGTGCACAAGGGAGCTTGCGGAATGGAGCACTGCTGCTGTCATGCCACACACACTGCATGGTAAGATGTCCTGCCACACACACTGCCTGGTAAGATGTCCTGCCACACACACTGCATGGTAAGATGTCCTGCCATGTACTCTGTCTAGTGAGTGGTCATGCCACTCACACTGCATGGGTAATCGACAAAGATGCATTTGGTATTGTATAACCGATGATGAATATATTGTAATGGGTGAATGTAGCATGCACGGTCGATGATGTCATGGCTTGTGAATTGCATGGTGAGTAGTGTGGTGTACTCTCTTCCTCCCACCCATTTCCGTGTTTTTTCCAACCCCTTCTTTCTCTCCCCCCTCCCCTCTCCTGCAACAGGATCTTGCATCACCCGTGCGACCCACACCATGAGGTGCCTCACAAGTTCTCTCTGTTTCCTTCCCCCTATCTTAAAACTCCCTTTCTCCTCTGCTCTCACCCCCCCTCCCCTCTCCTCGCTTGCACCAGGCCCTGGCATCATCTGCATGGCATGGCTCTTGAGGTGCCTCACTAGTTCCCCTTCTTTCCTTCCCCCTCTCTTTCCTTCCCCCTCTCTTTCCTTCCCCCACTCTTTCCTCCCCCCACTCTTTCCTCCCCCCACTCCTTCCTCCCTCCGCTTTTTCCTCCCCCCCCTTTTCTTCCCCTTCTTTCCTCCCCCCTCTCTTTCCTTCCCCCTCTCTTTCCTTCCCCCTCTCTTTCCTTCCCCCTCTCTTTCCTTCCCCCTCTCTTTCCCTCCCCCTCTCTTTCCTTCCCCCACCCTTTCCCCCCCCCACACTTTCCTCCCCCCACCCTTTCCTCCCCCCACTCCTTCCTCCCTCCGCTTTTTTCTCCCCCCCCTTTTTCTTCCCCTTCTTTCCTCCCCCCTCTCTTTCCTTCCCCCTCTCTTTCCTTCCCCCTCTCTTTCCTTCCCCCTCTCTTTCCTTCCCCCTCTCTTTCCTTCCCCCACTCTTTCCTCCCCCCACTCTTTCCTCCCCCCACTCCTTCCTCCCTCCGCTTTTTCCTCCCCCCCCTTTTTCTTCCCCTTCTTTCCTCCCCCCTCTCTTTCCTTCTTCCTCTCTTTCCTTCCCCCTCTCTTTCCTTCCCCCTCTCTTTCCTTCCCCCTCTCTTTCCCTCCCCCTCTCTTTCCTTCCCCCTCTCTTTCCTTCCCCCACTCTTTCCGTCCTCCTCTCGTTCCTTTCCCCTCTCGTTCCTTCCCCCTCTTTCCTTCCCTCTTTCCTTCCCTCTCCCTTATATTTCTCTCTGTCTCTTCCTTTCTCACCCCCCCTCCTCTCCTCATCTGCACCAGGCCCTCGCATCATCTGCATGGCACGGTCCGGGGGCTCCTCATGTTGCTGGCAAGGTGAGACGTTAATCTGTTAAATATTTCTCCATATGCACTTGTTGCTTTTGCATTTATGCACATGTAAATGCACCACATCCCGTACATAATCTATAGGGGGTTGCAGGTTTAATACTCGGCACCTCGTTTTCCATCTCTTCCCTCCTTTGCTGGGGCTACGTTCACCCATTTCGTCTGTAACCAGACGATGGCAGAGGCTGTTGGCAACTGGTATTTCGACCGTGAAGATACTAACCTAGTTGACTGCCCTTTCCCTTGCAACCCAACTTGTCCTAGAGCAATGTAACAGAAAATATAGTATGCACGACTTGTCACTGTTCAGTATCATGAAGTGTACTGAGTTGTTGCGATTGAGGCTCCAAATAGCGAACACATGGCCCCATGGTAAATCACATGGCACGGCACGAGTTACGCAACCTAGCAGGCAGGTCTTTCTGGCTCTGAAAGTCGAGGCGCAGGGCCCAAGTGATCGACCTGCGTCAGATAAGCAGGATTCGGCGCAGAAAATGTGACCTTCACCAAACAACTGCGGTACCTGCGCTTCGAACAAATCTGGACAATAGAAGATGTGACCCGACTCCTGAAGAGCTCCAGGAATTCCCCAGATAGCACAGCCTCTCATTCCAGGTTGCATCGGAGGTGCCTACAGTTGAAAAACTTTTCCTGAGTTCCACCTGGCTGGGCGCGACTCGATTATCTCAGGTCACGACTCGCAACAATCCCCCAACTTCCGAAACCTGGAAGCCTGCGGCAATGGAACCTGAAGCATGTTGCGGTGGTACAAAGTACATCCTGACCTCCTATCCATGTCATCAGCCTCACAGTAGACTGTGATAAGGATTCTCACGTCCGTGTACATATTCTACTCTTCGTCTCAGAAAAACTTTAAAACTTGGCAGTTAACAACTTCCCACAATGGCGCGTCTCGCACTCCTCATCGCGTCCCTCGCGGTCCTGCTGGTGACGGCCTCCGCAGAAAGCGTCGGCACCGGCCCCAAAAACCCGTCGGTCTCCCTCGACAAGGCCCTCGGGTCCAATGGCGTGGCGTCCGACGTCCCCAGCAACATCGAGAAGGCCGCTGCCGCCGGCAACTTGGACAAGTTCGAGGGTACGACCGTTGTGAGCCCCGCCACCGACTCCATGCTGATGGTGGACGTGAAGAAGGCCGGTTGGAACGCGATGAAGTGCCACAAGGACCTCGGTGCGCCCGGACAAGGCGCGTGCACGCCCGCGAACTGCAGCAAGGGCGGCATCCCCGCCAAGTGGAAGACGTCCAACCTGCTGAAGAACAAGCTCGGTGTGGAGGTCTACGTTAAGGGCAACCCTCTCACTCTCAAGAAGGCGTCTCCCCAGACGTGCTGCAACACGTGCGCGTCGTACAAGAGCTGCACGTACTGGCAGTACATCCCCGACATCACCATCGATGGCAAGAAGTCGGACGGCGCGTGCTACCTCGTGCACGACGACATCGACTACACGTGCGGCGAGCTCACCGCTCAGTACGCGACCGAGACGAAGCCGATCGCGCTGCAGGTGCGCACGGGCGGTGAGTGCAACCCTGCCGCGAACATCGTGAACGACCCCCATCTGGTGGGCGCGTTCGGCACCCACTTCGACTTCAACGGCCGCCCCGACAAGGCTTTCTGCCTTCTCACCGACCGCGACCTCCACGTGAACATGCTGCTCCGTGGGTACTACTCGGACGACACGGAGAACGCGGCGCTGGTGGTGGACGGCAAGGCCGTGCACACGTGGATCAAGGAGCTTGGAATCGTGTGGTTCGCCAAGGGCGCCGACCACAAGGTGCGCCTGGCGGCCCGCTCCGGCAAGCAGCAGGAGCGTGGCGACGGGTTCATGAAGACGATCGAGATCGACGGCGAGGAAATCCCCAAGATGAACGTTGGCGACGAGGTGACATCTGAGGGTGGGCTCACCCTGCGGTTCGCGGCGCTCGAGAAGGAGGGTCCCTATGATGTTGACTACTACACCCTCACCATCGATGGCCTCGTTTCCCTGGACCTGAGGCTGCGCGTGGCGAACCCGAAGCTGCAGACCCCCAACGAGGCGGAGGCGCACATCAACGTGGGCATTGTGGAGCTGGAGCACACCGACGACGTGCACGGCGTGCTCGGCCAGACCTACCGCCCCGACCACGCCGCTCGCGCCGCCGACTTCCAGCGGCTGATCGCGAACCTGCACCGTCCGATCTCGTCCGACAGCGAGGAGGGCGTTGGATTCCTGGACGGCACTCCCCGGTCGTACGAGTCGAGCTCGGTGCTGTCCGTGGACTGCGCGCACACCGAGTATCACCGCGCCAAGCAGCTGAGCCCCGTGGAGGAGTTCCCCATGGAGCCCCTGAACTAAATGCCCTTCACGGAGGTGTAGTGGTTTATTGTACGGTGGGTTGATTTAGTGGGCTATATGTGCACACGAAAGATGTGCATTTGTATTGTAGGCTGGCTGTATAGGCTGTGTGTTAAATCGAAAAATTGTGATTCCTAATCTCTCCGCCAGAGTAGCTACCCAGATCTAGCCACTCCGCCGCACTTCATTACTCCGAACGCTCCTGTTAGTCTTAACAGGAGGTAACAGAAAGCAAGACCAACAACGGAGACACAAAAAGCCACGAGCGTAACATGAAGTAACCAGCTATTCTGTCATTCTCGTTTCTGGAGACGCTGTGACACGCGATACGAAGCCGTAAACCACGCCATACATGGGTCATTTATTCGGATGGGATTGGGATGTGATGGGGTTGGATTTGGATGGGGATGTATGTCAAACATGTGTATTTGTCATGTTTGTATAGACTGTATAGGGTAGCCTCTTAGAGGGTACAACACTTAGGTATATCTGTGTGTACCCTCTCTCTAATATCATTCACTTCAATTTCTGATATGGTATCACGCGTAGGTAGGATCCCCCCCACCTACCGCTTCCGCTCGCCCCTAGCCCCGTCGCGACCCCCCCCCCTAGCCCCGTCGCGCCCCTTCCTGGGACCCGTCGCGCCCCTCCTTGGGCCCCGTCGCGCCCCTTCCCGGGCCCCGTCGCGCCCCTCCCAGGCCCCGTCGTGCCCCTCCTGGGCCCCGTAGCGCCCCTCCTGGGTATCAAACATCTGCATTTGTCATGTTTGTATAGACTGTATAGGGTTACCTCTTAGAGGGTACAATACTTAGGTATACTTGTGTGTACTCTCACTTTACAATCTATTCAATTCTCATTTCTGATATGGTATCACGCGTAGGTAGGATCCCCCCCCACCTACCGCTTCCGCTCATGCCCCCTAGCGCCCCTCCCAGGCCCCGTCGCGCTCCTCCCAGGCACCGTAGCGCCCCGTCGCGCCCCTCCTGGGCCCCGTAGCGCCCCTCCTGGGCCTCGTCGCGCCCCTCCTGGGCTTCGTAGCGCCCCTCCTGGGCCCTGTAACGCCCCTCCCAGGCCCCGTCGCGCCCCTCCCAGGCCCCGTCGCGCTCCTCCCAGGCTCCCCTAGCGCCCCTCCTGGGCCCCGTCGCGCTCCTCCCAGGCCCCGTAGCGCCCCGTCGCGCCCCTCCTGGGCCCCGTAGCGCCCCTCCTGGGCCTCGTCGCGCCCCTCCTGGGCTTCGTAGCGCCCCTCCTGGGCCCTGTAACGCCCCTTCCAGGCCCCGTCGCGCCCCTCCCAGGCCCCGTCGCGCTCCTCCCAGGCCCCCTAGCGCCCCTCCTGGGCCCCGTCGCGCTCCTCCCAGGCCCCGTAGCGCCCCGTCGCGCCCCTCCTGGGCCCCGTAGCGCCCCTCCTGGGCCTCGTCGCGCCCCTCCTGGGCTTCGTAGCGCCCTTCATGGGCCCTGTAACGCCCCTCCCAGGCCCCGTCGCGCCCCTCCCAGGCCCTGTCGCGCCCCTCCCAGGCCCCGTCGCGCTCCTCCCAGGCCCCCTAGCGCCCCTCCTGGGCCCCGTCGCGCTCCTCCCAGGCCCCGTAGCGCCCCGTCGCGCTCCTCCCAGGCCCCCTGCGCCCCCTCCTGGGCCGCGCCGCGCTCCGCCCAGGCCCTGTAGCGCCCCTCCTGGGCTCTGTCGCGCCCCTCCTGGGCCCCGTCGCACCCTGCCCGACCCCGTCGCAGCCGCCCGGCCCTGTCGCGCCCGCCCAGCGCCGTCGCGCCCGCCCGGCCCCGTCGCAGCCGCCTGGCCCCGTCGCGCCCGCCCGGCTTCGTCGCAGCCGCCTGGCCCCGTCGCCCTTGCCCGGCCCCGTCGCAGCCGCCCGGTCGCCGTCCCGCTCGCCCGGCCCCGTCGCACCGGCCCGGCTCTGCCGCACTCGCCCGGCCCCGTCGCCCCAGCCCGGCCCCGTCGCGCCCGCTCGGCCCCGTCGCCCCGTCCCGGCCCTGTCGCACCAGCCCGGCCCCGTCGCGCCCGCCCGGCCCCGTTGGGCCAGCCGCGGCCCCGTCCTCCTCACTGGTACGGTTCCCCCCCCCCCCCCGCCCTGCTCCGTGCCGCCCCGCACCACACTGTACTGCCTGGCACCGCACTACACCGCACTACACTGCACTGCACCGCACTGCACCGCACTGTACCGCACTGCACCGCACTGCACCTCACTGCACCGCACTGTACCGCACTGCACCGCACTGCTCTGCACTGCACTGCCCTGCACTGCACTGGACTGTTCCTGATGGCGGCGGAGCTTCGCTTCGACGCTGAAGGCCAGCCCCTAGAGTTCGAGGCGTGGCTTGCCGACCTCCGCCGCCAACTCACTGGCCAGCGGCAGGATGGTGAACCGCTTTCCGCACACCTTGACGGTACGCTCCCCTGCCCAGACCCCCCTGCTATTCTGCCCGCTGACCCCACACCCACTGAGCGTGAGGCTACTGCTGCCACTGCCCGTGCGCGCTCTGTCTGGCTTTCTCGCGATGCTGTTGCCCAGCTTGCCATTAGCAACGCCCTTCCCCCATCCGAGCGTCCTCGCTTTAGGTCCCTCACTACTGCTCAGGCATACTTAGATGCTGTGATCAAGCGCTATTCCACCCCTCCGGCTGCCTCGGTGGGTCGCCTGATCCTTCCGATGCTCTTTCCTGACCTTGCATCTTTCCCCACTGTCTCTGACCTCGCTGCCCACCTGCGCTCGATAGATGAGACCTGGCGCGCTGCCTGCACTGACGCCCAGCTTAGAGCCCACCAGCCGCCCATTACCTCTACCCTCTACCTGCTTGCCACCCGCCTCCCTGACCGCCTTGCTGTCGCCTGCGACCGCTTTCTTAGCGTTCACCCCGCAGACCTCACCCTCACTGACTTTGTAGACACCCTGACTGTGATAGAGACCCGTCACCGCTCCATTGCCCAGGCGAGCGGTGTCGTGCCGGTCCCTATCTTTCAGGGTTGTGCCCCCGCTCAGTGCACCTTCTCCGACGGCTCTGCCGCAAAGGCTGAGATTGCTGCTGCAGCGCAGGTCCGTTCGGGGAAGGGTCGCCGCCCCAAGGCTGGGCGCGGCGGAGGAGGCGGCGGGGGTGCGGGCGGGGGTAGTGGTGGGGTCGGGTCGCCTGGTGCTGGAGTGGACGAGGGGACCCTGCCCAGTTCAGCTGAGTCGCCGCCCCTGCAGGTGCAGCAGCCGCAGCAGCCGCCGCAGTCGCAGCCTTCGCAGCAGCCGTCGCAGACGCGGCAGACGAGTGTCCTCCCGCCAGGGTGGCCCGGCGCTGGCGGTGGCCGGGCGCGTGGTGGTGTGCCGCGTGGTGGCTCTGGCGGCGGGCGTTGCCAGTACCAGATCCAGACTGGTCCTCGCCGCGGCTTCGTTTGCGGTAAGCTCGGTCACTCCACTCCCCGCTGTTTTCGTCGCCTGGACGACCTCTTTCGTCAGCGCTTCGGCCCGTCGCCAGACCTCCCGGACTGGCACAGTTTGCTTAGTCGTCAGATTCAGATTTTTGATATGGACATGGATGCCATTGTTTCTGCTCTGCATGTGATGTATGCTGATGACTCTAGTGTGCTTCCCGCTTATTACTCACTGTTGCCTAGTGTATGTGTGCCTAGCTTAGCCTCCCCTGCTGCGTCAGGCGTAGGATCCCCTGCTTTGTGTAGTCTTGGTGCTTCCGCCGTCGTTCCGTCGCCAGACCCCTCGGCTTCGCTTTCCTCGGCTAGCTCTGCCCCGGTCCTGTTCGCTGACAACAGGGCCATGATCCTCCTTTGTCAGGAGCCTCGACTCGAGGGCAGAGCGAAGCACATTCAGCTGCGGTACTTCCTCCTGCGTGAGCTACAGCAGCGACGTCAGGCTCGCGTAGTACACTTGGCCTCAGGTGCCAACACAGCTGATATCTTTACGAAGGCGCTTGCGCCTAAAGATCATCAGCGGCACTGCGTACAGCTTGGTCTAGTTCCTGTCGCTTCTCACTTGCTAGGACCTTGACTTGTACTGTCCTTTATATGTATACTCAGACTGGACTTGTGTCCTCTCCCAGTGGCTGGACTAGTAGTGCCGCCCTGTTCTTGTTCTTGCCTTGTCTGTACTCCTTCTGACTGGTCTCTCAGACCCTTGTCTCAGAGGTTGGACTAGTAGTGCCGCCCTCAGCTGCTTGTTTAGGGTATTCCCCTATGCAGTCTAGGGGGTGTGTCAAACATCTGCATTTGTCATGTTTGTATAGACTGTATAGGGTTACCTCTTAGAGGGTACAATACTTAGGTATACTTGTGTGTACTCTCACTTTACAATCTATTCAATTCTCATTTTTGATAGCCGTTCCTCCGGATTTAGCGGACCTGATTCGAAAATACCCCGAGATTTTCCCGGACGACCTGCGCGCTGGACTTCCGCCGAGCAGACCAGAAGATCATCGAATCGAGTTGGAACCAGGCGCTCACCCGACAGTACAGCGACAATTTCGGCTCAGCCAACCGGAACTGGAAGAATTACAGCAGAAGCTAGATTATCTTCTGACGAAGGGTTTTATCCGGCCCAGCACGTCCCCATATGCCGCCCCGATCCTGTTCACACCAAAGAAGGACGGAGGGGTCCGCATGTGCATCGACTACTGCGCGCTCAACAGGATCACAATCAAGTCGCGTTACCCGATCCTGCGAGCTGACGATCTACTCGACCAACTTCGCGGAGCCAAATTCTTCTCGAAAATCGACTTGCGATGAGGCTAGCATCAAATTCGCGTCGCCGTCGACGATTGTCACAAAACTGCTTTTCGCACTCGCTACGGCAGTTACGAGTACCTGATGATGCCTTTTGGCCCTACGAAGGCGCCCTCGACATTCCAGATAACCATGAACGCCATTTTTCGGGAACTCCTTCATGAATGCGTTATTATCTACCTCGACGACATCCTAATATGCAGTCGCAGCAGGGAGCAGCACTTACAGGGTCTTGATGCAGTCTTCATGCTGCTGCACAAGAATCGCCTCATCACAAAAGGGCCTAAGTGCGACTTTCTTAAGCAGGATATGGAGTTTTTAGGCCACGTCGTCTCGACCGAAGGAGTGAAAATCGACCCCAAGAAAATCAAGACCATACAGGAGTGGAAGCCGCCAACCAACATTAAGGAGCTGCAGAGTTTTTTGGGCTTCGTCAATTACGTCC